CGGTTTCTCCGGATGCGTTCTGTGAAACTCCTCAGTGAGTGTGGGGTCCAGGATATCTCCAGTGTTGACCCAAGATCGCTCCTCCGGACCGAACCCCTCCCAATCGACCAGATACTGGAGGGTACCGCCCCGGCGTCTGGAGTCTAGCAACTCGTGCACTCGATACGCCTCCTCGCCATCAACCAGGAAAGGCAGGGGGGTCTGCGGTCTGGCCCCCTCCTCCGTCTCTCCTCTCGGACCACCAGCGGGTTTCAGAAGTGATACATGGAATGTGGGAGAAATGCGGTAATTAGAGGGCAGTTCTAAACGAAATGATACTGGAGATATTTGTCTAGAAATTTTGAAGGGACCAACATACCTGGGACTGAGCTTTTTACATGGAAGTCGGAGGCGTAGATCTCTGGTTGAAAGCCAAACCCATTGGCCTGGGGTGTACTCGGGACTGGGACGTCGATGTCGGTTAGCTTGTTGTTCTTGACGCCTTACGGCATGAAGTAGGTGAGTATGTGCCCGGTCCCAGACCTCCTCGCTGTGTTGCAACCAATCTGTGACGGAAGGTAATTCGGTGGGTTCGCCAGACCAGGGAAACAGTGGAGGTTGAAAGCCCAGGATGCACTGGAACGGGGTCAGACCGGTGGAGGGTTTCCTTAATGAGTTTTGGGCATATTCTGCCCATAGCAAGTACCTGCTCCAGTCTGATTGTTGTTGTTGGCAGTAAGATCTGAGGAATCGTGTTACCTCCTGATTCAGGTGTTCAGTTTGCCCGTTGGATTGGGGGTGATAGCCGGATGTGAGGCTGATGTTCACATTGAGATGCCTGAAGAAGGCGGACCATACCCTAGAAGTGAACTGGGGTCCTCGATCGGATACTATGTTTTCGGGTAATCCGTAGAAATGGAACACATGATTACAAAGTAGTTCAGCGGTTTCGAAGGATGTGGGAAGTTTAGGCAGCGGAATCAGACGGCAGGCTTTGGAGAAGCGGTCAACGATGGTGAGTATGGTGGTGTTGCCTTGAGAATTGGGCAGGTCGGTGATGAAATCGATGGCGATATGGGACCAGGGTCGGTGTGGTGTGGGTAGTGGATTTAGCAAACCAGCTGGAAGCTGTCTAGGAGACTTGGATGTGCTGCATGTGATACAGTTCTGGATAAATTTGGTTGTGTCAGCCAGCAACGTAGGCCACCAGAATCGGTTCCTGAGTAGATTCTCTGTGGCAGTGATTCCAGGATGACCCGAACTGAGCGTTGCGTGTACTTGGGTCAGAAGTCGTGGTCGAAGGGACTCAGGGACATAGGTGAGGTTTGCAGGGCATTCAGGAGGTGGCGGTCTTTGAAGATTCAGATGTTCAATCTCAGTCATGATATCCCATTGTACTGGTGCCAAGAGTAGCTTGTCGGGAATGATATTGTCGTTGGAGCTGGATTGGATTGTTTCCTCAGTTTGGTGAGAGAGAGCGTCAGCCTTGGTATTCTTGGTGCCTGGCCGGTATGTCACCGTGAAC